CTCCGACAGCGCTTCCGGCACCGGCTCGGCGCTGCGCCTGCTGTCTTTCCCGATTCCGGGGAAGCGCAGGGGGATAGCACTGTTTTGTGGGGCGGTGAGGGGGTGCGGGTGGGAGTTTATCCCGTGGGAAGGTCTGCGCCCGAGCTGCCGGGGCACAGCTGGGGGCTGGCAATAACCAGGACGGCCGCCCTTCCCGGTGGAAGTGGAGGCTGGAGCTTTGTGCCCGCTTCCTACCCGCACGCGCCGCCCGGATGAGTCTCAGCGTCCCCCCTCCTTCCTCAGGCCTTTCCCCCTTATCACGTTTCTTCTGAAATAACTGCTGTAACACACTTTAGCCTCCTCTCCTTAAGCAGGCTCCACCCTTGATGGGTTCTGCTTCTGCCACCCTTCTTTAAATGCGCCCCAAACTCGCAGGTGCCTTGCTCGACTTCTCATTGTCCAGCTTAGGATAATCCTGCTTAAAACCTTCTCCCCTCGGCCTCTGTAGCCACCCTTTTCCTGGTTCTCCTCTTATCCCTGTCAATCTCCACTATACCTTCTTCACAAAAACTAGCATTCCCAGCCCTCTTTACAATGCTGGACTATCTTCCTAACTGGTTAAATGCACTCTCGGTTCCAAATATTGTTCTTGAAAATACTTCAAAATTTTACCTACATGGTAGTGAGTTTTACACCTACAGTTCCACCTGCTGCACCAATCAATACATGTGTCTTACAAGCTCCTGAAATTTAACATATCAATCACCTTTATTAATTTGCTTCATCCCTACTCCTCGTGATTTCTGGATTTGGTAAAGGCATCACCATTCTTTCTGCCTTTAGTTTTATCTTGTTTCTACTCTTTCATTTTCCAGAGTCACCTCTTTACCCACTTTCCATCCCTTCCATAAGCCTTAGGTCACACTTCCTTTTCTTTTTTGTTTTTTTAAAAAACATACTTTTATTGATTTCAGAGAGGAAGGGAGAGGAAAAGAGATAGAAACATCAATGATGAGAGAGAATCATTGGTGGCTACCTCCTGCACACCCCCTGCTGGGGATCAAGCCGGCAACCCCAGGCATGTGCCCTTGACCTGAATCGAACCTGGGACCCTTTGGTCTGCAGGTCGACACTGTCCACTGAGCCAAACCAGCTGGGCTTGGGTCACACTTTCATTATTGCTTGTGTGGATTACAGGCGTGCTGCCTCTACTCACTCTCTTCCTACCCACAATCTGCTCTCCACAGAGTTTTTTCTAAAGCATTAATCTGAGTCCTTTTCATCCACGACACTCTAATTTAGAATATATTCCAAATTTTGAATCCCAGTATTCAAAGGCTTAATAATTTCGTTTCTCTGACCTCTCCAAACATTGGACCTCAGCAATAGTTCCACCAATTCTCCAGTTTGGCTCCAGGGCTCTGCCCAAGCCTGAAGTGCCTTTTCTAGACCTCAGCCTTCAGCAGTCACCTGGTAGAGTGCTTCCAATTCTACAGTGCCTACCCAGAAAGTGTCAAGCAATGGTCGTTAGCGCCAATTCACTGCCAAAAGGAATCCCCAATTTGGGGTGCAGTGAAGAAGGAAACTAGCGCAAAGCAGGTCAGTGTGATACAGCACAGCTGTGAGGCCACCCTGGGCCAGGCCCCTCTCCAGCTAGAGAGCTCTGCTCCTGCCAGCCTGCTCCATGCTGTCTGGTCTGCTCTCCTTGGGGCTGGTTTGCCTCACCAAGCCAGGGAGTCATAGTCTTCAGTGAAAAGGAATAGTGTACGCTCTGAGCCAGAGGGGAGCCGGCTTAGAGATCCAATGTTTGGAGAGGTCAGAGGGACCAAATTATAGACAGAGTCTCTGCCCCTGGCCCCTGATTGGTCCATCCTCATGCATGTGAGGATTCCAAATCCTAACGGTTTGATCCAAAAAGCACTGTACGGTTGGTTAGAAATGAGCTGCTTTGATTGGTCAGTGATGTAGCTCCAATTGGGTGGGAAAAGCCTCAGTCCTATTGGTTGAAATAGGATTACAGGAAGCCCTTTATAGGCTCAGGTGGCCGACAGGCAGCTGAGCACAGAAGCAGATGGTCCCTTCCGTCAGGCTTTTCCCGGAAGTGCAGAGTGCATGACAGGCCCAGTGTGGGAATGGCTGGCCTTTTTTTTTTTTTTTTTTAATTTGAGCCTAGTTTGCCACCAGAGCCCTTCTTAGTAGGTATCCTCTTTCTCAGGGTCCACAAAAGAAAATTATATTTTCTAAGAAAGCTTCCCTGAATTCCTTTCCCCAACCTGCAGGATACTTCCATGGAACTTCTTCAGTATGTTACACCATTACTCTGTCTATATCTCCCATCAACAGGAAGGATTCACTAAGTTACTGAGTATGATGGCAAGCACTTGATAGTACACGGACAAAATCTGAGTGTACCTCAGTTACTAGAGACAGTCTCTGCTGCTGTATTCACCCAATCTCAGTCCTCCCACTTGCAGGAAGATCGATGTTTCATCCACGGTTGCGTTGCTAGGATTCAGAATTCCCATCCATTGAACTTGGTTTTCTGAAGACAGTCTCCTTGTGTTCTAGCCATGCTGAACCTTTCTTGCTTTTCAAGTATTCAAGTTTCCAGCAAGTTTCAGGGGCTTATTAGTATTTTGGATTTTTGAAGAAAATGATGTTCGCACAAGATAGTTTGGATGTATTGAGCAAAGGCACCATATCTGGTTGGTTCCCTAGAGAAAAGCAAATAACTTTTGTGGGTTTTTTTAAGTCCAGACACCCCACCTTGGCCAACTCCCTAGCCAGGGAAATACTAGTCTCTTCCTGATCACTTATTCATAAAATGAGAATACTGTTACTTACCTCAATTTGATTGTATTGGTTAAATGAGCGACACATATAAAGGATATGAAACTTTTGAACTTGCTTACATCTGCTGTGTTTATAACCTTCATCGGTTTATTACCCAGGACAAACTCAGCATCTGTCTCCTCCAAGCACCACATTCTGTCCCACTGTCCCTATCCTAAATGTACATATGCTAGTTGTGGCAACAGACCCTAGGATGACCTCCCATGATTCCTCTCCTGGTGTTCCTGCCTTTGTATAATTCCTTTTCCCTGAATATAGGCAGGACCTGTGATTTTATATAACCAATAGACGGTGGCAAAAATGATGGGCTGTCACTGCCTGGACCATGTTATATTACATAAGACGGTCTTGCTGCCAGACTAGAGATGCTCCTGCTTGGCCTGACAAAGCAGCTGTATGGCTCACATGGCAAGGACTGCAGGTGGCCTGTAGGAACTACAAGAAACCTCCATGAGTTAGAGTGGCTGGACCCCTAAGCTTTACACACCAAGGAAATGAATTCTGCCAACAATCTGAGTGAGCTCGGAAGCTGATGCTTTCATAGGTGAACTTCCAGAGGAAAACCTAGTCTAGCTGACACCTTAGCTACAGCCTGTGATCCCTGGGCAGAGGACTGAGCTAAGATAGGCCTGAACTCCTGAACACAGACATTGTGAGATAAGAAATGTGTGTGTGGCCCTAGCCAGCTTGGTTCAGTGGATAGACCATCAGCCTGCGGACTGAAGGGTCCCAGGTTCGATTCTGGCCAAGGGCACATGCCTGGGTTTCGGGCTCAATCCCCAGTGGGGGTGTGCAGGAGGCAGCCGATCAATGATTCTCTCTCATCATTGATGTTTCTATCTCTCTCTCTCCTTCTCCTTTCCTCTCTGAAACCAATAAAGAAGTATATATTTTTTTAAAAAAAGAAATGTGTGTGGTTTTAAGATGCTAATTTTGTGGTTATTGTTACACAGCTAACAGATACACCAAGTGTGAGATGCTAGGGCAGCTATTCTATAGTCTAACTGAAAGGAAAGGTCTGTGCACACTAAAAAGAATACAGCTAACCAACCTCACTTCTCTCCAGATAGTGAAAGTGATGTAGTGAGATTAGAAGGCTAACAAGCCTGAGCCCCATGAAAGCCACGAGAAAGCTGAACCAAGAATAAGCTGAAGCCATCACAGAAAAGTGTAGCACGGAGTCCCCAGGGACAGTAAGCAATCGGGGACAGCTGGAGAAGCTGGAAACATGGAGGGACCGATTCACTAGGCAGTGGGTGGGAGATGAACAAACACCTCTTAAGCCAGACTGACCAGCTACTCAGTCTCTAAACTTATCAGGAACCTCATGGGTCTTAACCTGCGGCCTGCTCCTTATGACAGAACAAGCACCCATTTTTAAAGCCATGCATAATTCTTTGATAAATTCACATTAACCTGAGTGAGTCTGATTGTGGTGGCCAAAAGCTGAGAAGTTAAAGCATAGCATCTGAAGGTAGAGAGTGCAGAGTTGGTAAGGTGGCTGCACAATCTAGAAGGGTCCAGATGACTACCTTCTGCATTGCCAGATTTCATTCTCTGGCTCATGATCCAAGTTGGCAGCAACAGCTCTAACCATCTGGTCTAACACTGAGTGAACTACAATTCAACTCTGACACTAAACACCCATTCAGCACAGGGTCCACAGGTTGAGGGCAGAGTTTCTTACAAAGCTGCTCTTACTTCAGACGCCAGCCATAAGTCTCAGGTGATCCCCCGGCCACTTGCACTTCTGTCTGCTATAAATGTGGGGGCTCTTACAGATTTCTTCAATAATTAACTAGGATGGCTCAGAACTCAGAAAGCACTCTACTTATGATTACAGTTTTATTACAAAGGATACATACAGGGTGAGGTCTGAGAGGGACCACAGAGCTTTCATGCCCTCCTCATAGAATTGGGGCAGGTCACCCTACCAGTTTCCTAGTTCACCAACTAGGAAACTCCTCTGAACTCCAATGTTCGAATCTTTATTGGGGTTTAACTATGTAGGCATGATAAAGTAAATCATTGGCCACACAATTGAGCTCAATCTCCAGCCCCACTTCCAGCCCCCTTCTCATTCCTACATCTAAACGTCCCTACGCTCCACCTCCACACTAAAATAAAGCTATTTAGAGGCTCACAAGGAGTTACCTTCCCCCCCACCCCTTCAGTGAATAGCATGTACCTTTATTTATAATGGCAGGGGACAAACATGAATAAAGCTTCAACTTGATGTGTTCACACTATCATTCTTTAAGGACTTGAGAACATAGAAGAGAATTGGACAAAAAAAGTCAAGTCATCTATGACTGCTTTTTATTACCAAAATATATTAACCTTTCACCCTAGAGACTGCAAAAGGAAGTTCAGTTAATCTTGTAATTCTAGAACAAACTTCATAATGAGGGATTCTAAAATTTTCATAGAGTGTGAAATAAAAGGTGACAAAATCCCATAAGACAGTGTTTCTCAAATAGAGTTACTTTCACAGACATTCTTGGGAGGGGGGGTTGCAAGATTTTTATGATAATGTTTTAAATTTAACTTTTGTTCATCATCAAAACAAATTCATACACACTTGTGCAGGAGTACCTGGGCAATCATCTCACAAAACAGTGTTGCCACATGATCACAGCATCTGCACATGTACCTCTGAGCCCTGCAGACCAAGTAAAGACCCATTTTGCTTAACATTTCATGTGGCACTTCTCACATCGGCCCTCAGACCCTTCCCAGAATTGTTGAGCATTTCCTATGCCCTCCGTGAGTTGTCAAGGTTAAGAACACAAGTTCAGAGCAGTGATTAAGATAGGATGGGGTAGACACATGGAGTTTGGAAAAGCACATTCAAAATACCTACCGATTTCAAAATACAAACTATAAATTCAAACTCCACAAAATAATTTTTGGGCAGTAGCATAAAATTAACTATCAATTCATCCTAGGGAGCCTGGGATAAACTGGTTGGGAACACTGGCTTAGCGGCAGGAATCCTGGCACACAGACAATGGTAAGAACCACGTGCAAAAGAGAAAGAACTTCTTTGGGTCAGTGAGGGAATCCTGAGCCATAACTTGTCACGGTCTATGGCAGTGGTTCTCAACCTTCTGGCCCTTTAAATACAGCTCCTCATGCTGTGACCCAATCATAACATTATTTTCATTGCTACTTCATAACTGTCATGTTGCTACTGTTATGAATCATAATGTAAATATCTGATATATAGGATGGTCTTAGGCGACCCTGTGAAAGGGTCATTCAACCGCCAAAGGGGTCGCGACCCACAGGTTGAGAACCGCTGGTCTATTGAAACCCAAGGGCCAATCCGGAAGAAACCCAAGATGTCCATCCACCATCTCAGACCTGTGGTTTGTGGCAAGTGGCTCCACTTGCAATAGCGTTGAAAGAGGAAAAGCCTGTTTTTGCTGAGAATGCTCCCATTTTTGGGGTTAGATATTTCAGAAGATTAAGTAATCAGTTGCTGGGTAAAGGTCGCCCCAGATCCATCCACCAGAAGTGTTGCCACCGTCCAGTGCTCTCAAGGGAGACATCAGCCTAGGTCTGTAATTACGGCTGTAGAGCTCCCATTTCTATTAGCCGCACCATCTGTTCTCCACGTCTATCCATCTCTACTAGACCACTGTATCCACCTATATACTCTTTTTTTTTTTAAAGATATTTTATTGATTTGTTACAGAGAGGAAGGGAGAGGGATAGAGAGTTAGAAACATCGATGAGAGAGAAACATCGATCAGCTGCCTCCTGCACATCTCCCACTTGAGATGTGCCCGCAACCCAGGTACATGCCCTTGACCGGAATCGAACCTGGGATCTTTCAGTCCGCAGGCCGACGCTCTATCCACTGAGCCAAACCGGTTTCGGCAACCTATATACTCTTTACTGATAAAGATTCGAGGTACTGTTCTGGCTTCTGTGAGGTGTTGCAAATAATCTTGAACCCTCTCTGCGTTCCTGGTGACTGTGATATCCACAAATACCAACAACTCTTTTTTGAAGGGGCAGGTGGGCTTCATGACCACCACCATCCTCCCAGGCTTGAGGTGGCCGTCCACAGACTCCTGGGCTGGGCAGGTGGGCTGCATCCTGGCGGGGAGCCTCCAAGGCAGGCATCCCTCAGGAGTAAGAACCATAAGGAGTTACCTTACTAGCACAACAAAGATGGGCCTATCAGCCAGGAAGTTCCTGAAGCTGGATGCCAGGAACCCAGCCCAAAGACTGGACAAATTATTTACTACACCACACCTTTACTCCTTCATCTCATCAGGAGAAAGCGGCAAAGAAGGCCCTGTTCTGTCTCGTTAAAGACACTTACTGGAAGCTGCATGGGGTGTCTCACTTACAGCTCAATGACCAGAACAGAGCTGTGCTGCAAGGGAGGCTGGAAATGTAGTTTTGCTTACTTTGAAAGCAATGTGGCAATGTATCTAGCTAAAAATTGAAGAGACAATTTTTAAGAAAGAAGGGAAGCCTGGCTATTCAGTAACAATGAATGGTATTTGTATAGAACTCATGCAAAGGATAAAGAGAAACACAAAAGGTAGAAAGTTCTTTCACTTCAGCCTCTTTGGGAAGTTGAAATTCAAAAAACCAATAACATAGTTGTGAGCAGTTTCCAAGGTAACAAATGCCAGGGTTGTGTCCTGAGATCCTGGGGTCTGGCTGTTGCCGCCAGCAGCAGAGCTGAGCGTGCCCACATCAGAGCTTCCTGTCTGTCTGTGGGATCAGCAGAGACAGGAAAGATCATCCCGCAGCTGTAACTGTGCAGAAACATTGCACAGAAACTTCATTTCTTTCATTTGAAATTTTCTCCTTCTTTCCTTTTGGTTCAAACTGGCCTTGTCCATCCTCAGCCACTTCCCTCTCCCTTGCACAACCAGTCCCTTAATCATCAAGACTTCAGGACAATAAGGTTTTGGTCAGTATCAAATGATCTTCTGAACAAAACCTCATATCTGTTGACCACAGAAATTGAGTTTTAGTCAAGTTAAATATAATATGTAGGCATTGGTTGTGTTTCAGCTCCAGACCCAGAAAAACAGACTGGCCTCACTGACCACACCCATGTGAAACCCAACAGAGCATTGCCATGGCTGATATCAGGACCTCCCACCCTAGCACCAACCAATCAATAGAGATCATGAGCCTAACTCCCTTAGTCACCGTGATTAATGATTCCCCCTACATAACCCATCCCCTGGAAGCCATAGGGAGCCAGGTCTTAGAGCAACAACTCATCTGTGACCCCAGGTTTGGCATCATTTTCTTAAAAAGAAACCTTTACTTTCTTTGCTGCAAACTCTCATTCTCATTTGATTGGGCTCTGATGAGTGCAGGTGAACAAAATTCTTTAGTTTGGTAGCATAGCCAGAGAAGACAATGGCACACATCCTATGGAGCCAACAGGAGGAATGGACTGCTCACTTCAACAGTAGACTGAGTGACAGGCACTCCACAGAGGCTAAGCATGCAGGGAGTATAATGTAAATACAATAAAACTTCCCTACAGAGGAGTGGAGGCAGAATCGAAGGACTAATAATTTGCTCCCATTATTATGACAATATTTTTACGGTGAGGCCTATGTGGCGATGGAAGTCTCATTTAAGAACAGTTGTTCAAATGTTTTTAATAGGAGAACCATGATTGAACATTGTAGTGAGCAAATGTCCTTCCTTTTAGGAATCCTTATCTTCCCAACCCTTTGAAATGATGACAACCCCAAGGCCTCTCCCCTGACCGCAGGTTGGGTGTGGACCCCCCTGGAAAGTGAATCCTCTCCCATGAACTGGACACTTGTATGGAGACATGCGGAGACACGCGGTGCATGGAGCCCCGTCACTGTGACAGACAGTCCCTCAGAGTTCTGATAACCCCTGGGCTCCTGCCCTTCTGAGATCTGCCCCTTCAGCTCTGCCTTTGGTTCTGTGTGTTCTCTAGTATATATCTGGGGGGGGGGGACTCCCACAAACTTTTTAAAATTGATTTCAGAAATGAAGGGAAAGGGAGAGATAAAGAAACATCAATGATGAGTGAAAATCATTGATTGGCTGCCTCCCACATGTCCTCCCACTGGGGATTAAGCCCACAACCTGGGTGTGTGCCCTGACCGGGAATCCAACCGTGACCTCCTGGTTCATAGGTCAATGCTCAAACATGGAGCCACACCGGCAAAACCCACAGTTATTATCTTACTGTTCTGCAGGTATCCACCTGATGTGATGAAGTATGGTAGAAACCATCTCAGGTAGAAACTATAGTTTAACTTTAACCCTGATGTTTGGCTTCTGTACCTATTTGCTTTGTTTAACAATAGAAAAGTTATTTTCATTTTCTGAATTGTATAAATCATCCCATTTGATTGAATGCCTTATTGACTGCGATGTGAATATCCCATTGATTGTGATCTTACTGGTTTTAGAAAGCAAATTAATCATTCCAAACCCTGGGATGTAATTAATACCTTTGTGATTTTTGCCTATATAAATCTGGAATTGCGACCATCTTATTACTATGAGATTTAGGAATGACCCCTCATAGTCCTGGATTGCAATAAATATGACTCTTTAATTCGACTTCTTGAGGCATCCTTCTGTGATTCGTGGGGTACATTACAACAGTGAAACTTACCAGGTATCAAGTCAGCTGCTTTCTTTTCCGGAGAATCTAGGGGAGAACCCATTTCCTTGCTTATTTGGGCTATTGGCAGAATTCTGTTCCTTGTGGTTGTAGGACTGAG